ACAAGCTGAAACGAGCTAGAAGTGACGAGCTAACCAGCTCGACTAGCTGGACCAGCTGATTGGTAGCTCACCTAAGCTGGACGGAGTGAAGGTCAGCTGGTCGAGTGACAGTCTAGCTAGGTCAGCTGGTCGGGTGGGAAGGTAGTAAGGCGGTTGGGTTGACGGTTACGTACGTTGGCCGAACAGACACGGACGAACGGTTACTCAAACATGCATGAATGAGCGGTTTCAACGAATACATGCGAACAAGCGTTTCCACCGAACGGGCGCCTTTGGGGAAAACGGTTTTTATCCGTAAACACTATAAATAGAAGGCGATTCCTTCATTTTACGGACACGCGCAAACACCTAAAAATCCAGAGAAAACTCTAAGGCATTTGCCGAGAGGAATACGGTTAAAAGGAGAGTTTGCGGAGCCGAGCGTTCTGTCGGCGATCGAGAGGGGCAACACGGATCATTCATCGATCGAATCCGTGTAGTCAAGGTGGGTGTAAAGCCGTGGTAATGTCTCGGAGATTACGATCTCCGGACGTGCGGATGGTATAAGGGTTAGAATATTGTGGGTTGTTTGATTAGTTCGTTGATCGGCCTAGTCATTCATGAGCATATTCATATCGTGCATACTTTGTGAGGAGTAACGGTTTGGTTGAGACGGGGAGGCGGCTCGGCAAGGAATCGGCGGATCCGCGAGGATCTACCGGTTCTAGGCCGAACTGATGCGCTTACTTCCTCTCTCCGATCCGTTTTCCAGACCAAAGGATTATAAGAACGTATAGTGCATTGCATGGACTTGCATCCACTAAGTAAAAGACGAGTACTTATGTCTTGTTGGTTTCAGGGAAGGATGGTGATCGTGGGAAGGATATGGCTTAGGCGCGAGAGACTCATGGTCGAGAAGATGGGTGGTGGTGAATCGGGTAGAATAGGATCGAGTATATGACTTGTAATAGCTTATATGCAAACTCATAAGTTGTATCGAATCCTTTACTTATCTAATAAAGTATCCGATCTTTTGTTTTACTCTAAGGTTGCATAATGACTCTAAATAATGAATCGCGGAATAATATGAAACGGATTGACTTAAGGAATGAACCCTAAAATTTGGCTAAGGATCGGACCACTTAGTGATCCGTTCGGGAAGAACCTCTCCGGGCCTAGGGAGTCCGGGTTGGGGTCTTTCAGAACGCTCATGAGTAAAAAGAGAAACCAATAGAAGATAGGCTTGTTGCAGGTGTTATAAAAGTTGTTAAGGTTCTATGATGGCTCTTTCACCACGAGCTTCATCACAACTATCAGGTTTGAATCTCTTTAACCATGTAAAGAGATTAGAGACTGTGATATATGGTATGATTCTCTCTTTTATTTCTTTAAGATGTCTCTCTAAGTTTGTTATCTTTTTGACGTTTGATGCATCATTGATTTTAAGATAAGGACTATAGAGGTATTGTGCACTGGAATGCTAACGGCAAGGCAAAACACATAAAAGGAGACGAGATTGAAGTTTCTCTTTATGATGTTAGCTTTATTTTGTTTAAAACTTGGTATGATGTTATGTAAAAATGGATAATGTAACAATATTGTTATGTATGTTGATTATTTATGAAATATAAAATTATTTTATAAATCTAATTAAATTTATTTTGCAAAACAGGATTCAAATATAATATTTATATATAAATCAAATTAAATTTATATATCAAATATAAAATGCTATAATACAATATAAAATAACACTAAACGTCTGCTATAATATAGTATATTAGTGCACTATATTACCGCTATAATTGAACGATCTACAATAGCATGTCAAAAAACGCTATCGTATGGGTGACACCTAACATAGCTGCCGATGTCATAGCATTTGTGATTTCGCTATGTTATATGTATGATAGCATATTTTCCGCGCTAATGATGAACATATTTCTTGTAGTGAGAGCTTTTAACTCTATTCTCTCTTGTTTCTAGTAGAACAACGGTTCTTAACGATCTCAAGATCGCGTGATTGTTTGGGCATTCGTAGACTAAACAACTAACTATGCAGACATTAACCTTCGCTTCATTAGTTGGTATCACAAAGGACTATAAAAACCTATGTGGAAATTTTTTGTGTGAGGTTATTTTGTTGGGACTGCTCATCATGTAAAACCTAGAAAATTTGACACTTTGTTTATAAAATGTTTTGGCCGTCCTCACCAAGATTGACTTGACAAAATTGCATTACGCACACGAGTTCTCAAACGAGACTACTAATACTTGTTATTATTCCCTGGTCAGTGAATCAACCAGTGCATTCAAACATCCTGATTTATCCTATATTGTTGTGGGGCAGCCTTGTTCGAACTCTCCACGAGAGATTGTTCTATGTGAAACGTATTAAGCATCAGTAACAGGAGAGTGTGCTAATGGATCTTATTGCATGTATCTACAATATTCTTACTTGCAATGTTTATATTTAGATTTAAAATAATCTGACAATGTGTGGATGACATATTACTTATGTTTCTAAGTTTAGAAAAGAAAATAACCAAAAACAAAAGTGAGACAAATCTTAAAATCTTAAATGATCTGGTCTAACTGTAAACTGCCAATTTTAGAACAAAACTTGTAGATGAGAGCAAAAACCTGCGTCTCTTGATATCTTCTAATCCGATTTCTGTCCTTGAAACTTTTTTAACCGTTTCTTTATAACTGATTTTTAAGTAACTGAATGTTTTTTTATTATTTAAACAGTTGGTAACTAGTTGGCTTCAGTTGTGAGTATCATTCATCTATTTAAATCTCTTCATCTTTCAATAGGTCTCGTGTCTCACAAGAAACAAAGTTCATCTTCTTATATACACTCTCTTCTCCTTACTATTTACGTTTTCACCGTAAGTTTTACAGTTACGGTGGACACAATGAGTTCCTCAGGAGAAGAACGAGGTGTTGTTGTTGCGGATTCCGAGCCGCCTAGAGGGAATAGAAGTCGATTTGCTTTTGCTTGTGCAATCTTAGCCTCCATGACTTCTATCATCCTTGGTTATGGTTCGTCTTCTAATCATTCACTAGCGATCAATTTCAGATTTGGTTCGGTTTTATGGTTTAGATAATCATCCTTACATTTTATGGATGTTACAGATATTGGAGTGATGAGTGGAGCTGCAATTTTCATAAAAGACGATTTGAAACTGTCGGACGTACAACTTGAGATTCTTATGGGAATTCTAAACATCTACTCTCTGATCGGTTCAGGCGCGGCTGGTAGAACTTCTGATTGGATCGGAAGACGATATACCATAGTGTTGGCAGGAGCCTTCTTCTTTTGCGGTGCCCTTCTCATGGGTTTTGCCACAAACTATCCTTTCATTATGGTTGGCCGTTTTGTAGCCGGTATCGGTGTCGGTTATGCTATGATGATTGCGCCTGTTTACACCGCTGAAGTCGCTCCTGCCTCCTCTCGTGGTTTCCTTAGCTCTTTCCCTGAGGTTCAATAGATCCAAATTAATTAGTATATATGAAATGAAAACGAAAACGAAGGTTGATATTAATGTGATATGATTTTTATATGCAGATATTTATCAACATTGGTATACTATTGGGATACGTATCCAATTACTTCTTCGCCAAGCTTCCAGAGCACCTCGGATGGAGGTTCATGTTAGGGATTGGAGCGGTGCCCTCAGTGTTTCTAGCCATTGGAGTTTTGGCAATGCCTGAGTCTCCACGGTGGCTCGTCATCCAGGGTCGTCTCGGGGACGCTTTTAAAGTCCTTGACAAAACCTCAAACACCAAAGAAGAAGCCATCTCAAGGCTCAATGACATCAAACGCGCGGCCGGAATCCCCGATGATATGACCGACGATGTTATAGTCGTTCCCAACAAGAAGAGCGCTGGAAAAGGCGTGTGGAAGGACCTTCTCGTCCGACCAACCCCGTCCGTCCGACACATTCTTATAGCATGCCTTGGCATCCACTTCGCCCAACAAGCCTCCGGAATTGATGCGGTTGTGCTTTACTCTCCGACCATCTTCTCAAGGGCTGGACTGAAGTCCAAGAATGACCAGCTCTTAGCTACAGTCGCTGTCGGAGTTGTCAAGACTCTCTTCATCGTGGTAGGAACTTGTGTGGTGGACCGGTTTGGACGTCGTGCCTTGTTGCTTACGAGTATGGGCGGAATGTTTATTTCCTTGACCTTGCTTGGAACTAGTCTCACGGTGATCGACAGGAACCCCGGGCAAACACTCAAGTGGGCTATAGGGCTCGCCGTTACGACAGTGATGACTTTTGTGGCAACATTCTCAATAGGTGCAGGCCCAGTGACGTGGGTCTACTGCTCAGAGATATTCCCCGTGAGGCTAAGAGCTCAAGGAGCAAGTTTGGGAGTGATGTTGAATAGACTAATGAGTGGTATTATAGGAATGACATTCCTATCTCTTTCTAAGGGTCTCACCATCGGTGGTGCCTTCCTTCTCTTCGCCGGAGTAGCGGCTGCCGCGTGGGTCTTCTTCTTCACTTTCCTCCCGGAGACACGTGGTGTGCCTTTAGAAGAAATGGAGAGTCTCTTTGGGAGCTACACCGCAAACAAAAAGAACAATGTTATGACCAAAGGGAAACAAGTCGTTGATGAACAATGAGAGTGAAAGAAAACTTGCTTCCATTTCATTATTTGGTTAATGGAACGTTGATATCAAAAGACTCCCGAACCGAGTCTTCATCGGGCGAGTGTGACCAATAAGAAAATTAATAAAGAATTTCACTTGCCATCTCTAATCGATCACTAAAAAATATAGGTTAATAAAGAATTGCACTTGCCATCTCTAATCAACACCAGAACCATCATTCTGGTCACTATTTTGGTGTACCGTCCGGTCAACATTTTTTTATTTTTTTTTGAATAATGTTTGGTAGCTCACAAAGCATTAAGTTACATGACTATACATAACAACTAAATTAATGTCAAATACCCTCATCAAGAGTTGGTTTTACAAAATGACATACACCCAACTAACATAAGTTATATGACCAACATTATAACCATCAATTTAGTCACTAATTTAGTGTACCGTACGTGCAACAAAATTTGGTAAAGATTAGAAGCTAAAAAGCCAATCCCAGCTACCACTATCTTTGAAATCATCGACAGCAAAATCCGAAATGTAATCACCGCGAGACGCAAGCGTAAGCGATACCGCAACCTAATGCATCTCTGGTAAACATGACCTCACACTATGTTACTTCCAAATCGTTTGTCTCTTTGATTTAACATGACATATCTCTGGATCTATTAACTTTGTGTTGTGTTAAAGATTTTTTTGATAGAGTTTGCTCTTGAAGCTTTTAAGAAAGCCGGTTCGCTCAATGTCTCCGACGAAATGGCGAATTTCACCGCCGAAGTTTCCACCAAAGCCGATCAGATCCATAAAGATGAAGAAGCTAAGAAGATAAAGATGAAGATATAAGGTATGGTTGTCTCTTGAGGCAGATACTCATGTCGTCATTGTCTATCAATTAAGAGTTTTAAGTCCTTTTTAGATTTTTAGTCTTATATGTTCTATGAAGTTTGAGCACCAAAAACCCCCTGTTCAGGTTTAGGTCTTCGAGTTTTTTACTTATCATCTTTGATATAGTGAATGGCAATTTCTCATATTTCTTGTATCTTCTCAGAATTGTGCAAAGGTAACAAAACATTGGGAGATAGCATTCCAAAAAAAATCATGATTAACATTTCACGCTAGCAACAACGCTGATTGCCCAAAATTGGGCGACACAGTTCATTAGACAATATGATTGTATACTTCAACGAATCAAATATCAAAAAAGCCAGATGAAGAGACACATGGAGATATTCTCCAACACAATTCCACAATAGAGTTATCTGCTACATATTTTATCTACGATAAAAATCTTAATCTGCAAACTAAACACCAACCTTGTTTCCAAGTCTCTTTCGAAGAATCTTGACTCCCATGTATCTGCATAGATTGATAATTCTATGTTTATTTAAAGGAGACTTTTGTATGATTCATTATGTTGGCATTGGTTTTTATTTACCTTTCCATCATCTTAAGCGTGGCTTGAGGGTTGGTTCCTGGAGACTCGCCAAACGTCGAACCCCTTTGCTCATCCTATTTGGGTCGGACTTGCTGAAGGGTTATCATCTATTGTATGTAGAGTCAAATTGATGAGTCATTTACTTGTATTTTAAAGTTTTTGAACACAGTTTAAGAAATCATTAAAATCTCATGTAATTTAAATATTTTACATAAAAACATTATTAAGTACAACTAATTCAACCAAAAAAAATATGCTGTAAATAATAATTGGTCAAAAACTATTAAATTCATTTAATTGTTTGCATAGAAAATGAAAACAACACTTCTTTTGCAATAATTTTTTTTTTGGTTAAAGTACAAATAAATTGAAAGAGAGAGAGTAAGAATTAAAATAACGAAAAAGACAAATATATGTTCTTGACTTAAGGAACCAAATTAAGAATCTACAAAATGTTTATTCATGACCTTTTTCTTCATTTTTGTTTTCATTTTATTTTTCTATGATTATTTTTTATAGATTTTTTTTAAAAAAATATCTTCAAAATGATTACTGGGTCATTGCAAAAGATAATAACAAAAAATAAAACAATTGTCATCTCTAACAATTAAAGAGAACACACGAACCAAAAAAAAGAAGACAGCGATGAAAACCAAAAACAAATCCTAAAGATACGTTATTTACGACGTTTTCCTACGATCAGATCTTGTTAAAATGCAAATTCTCCACATAATAAAGCCATTTGTTAAGTTGCATTATCGAATTTTATTTTTTCCTTAATTTTTAATTTCATATACAATGTTCTTGACTTAAAAAAAAAAAACAAATTGAGAATCTACAAATTGTTTATTCATGACCTTTTTCTGGTTCATTTTTGTTTTTATTTTATTTTTCTATGATTATTGTTTATATAGATTTTAAAAAATATTCTTCCAAATGATTCCTGGGATAATCATTACAAAAGATAATACCACAAAAGCACAAATTATCAAAAAAAAAAAAAAAACAAATAAAAGATTCCTAAAAACCCTAAAGAGAAGACACGATCCAAAAAAAGAACAAAAAGAAAGACAATGATGAAAACCAAAAGCAAACCCTAAAGATACGTTAATCAGTACGACCAGATTCCATTACAAGTCACAGGCTAAATGGTCCTTCGGGGTCGAGCTGTTTGCATAGACCAAGATAAGTTATGTAGAGAACACGATCCTTAGAACCGGTTCGATGTTTACTGTTCAACTGACAAAAGAACTTGAGTTGGTCCAAAGTACAACATCCCAACATCTGCCCTAACAGAAGAAACAACCAGTTAATTTCTTCCTTCCTTGCGGACATCACAGGCTTCATCTCACTCTTGCATGTGCCGCACGGAATCAGTTTCGGGGTTGACCATATAGCCGGGGCTCGTTGACGCATCACCTCCTTGTTCACCTTAATGTATTCATACAATTCCGAAAATTTCTCCATCAGATTATAGTCCAACTTGTAAGTCTTATCGCAAGTTTTGCAGTGGACTAGTCCAGAGATCACGTTTACATTCTTGGAAGACAAGTCTCTGATGGACTGGATTTCGCCTGGCTTTTTGGTGGCCCATGGATACGGTGGTATGATCTCCGACATCTCCCTGTTATCCACGTTGCTATCAACCGCAGCTGCCGCTCTTGTTGAAATACGACGTGCTTGTCCTCCTGGTGGACGACCTCTGCGGCGAGTTTCCGAGGCCACGGTTGCAACCTGGTTCACTTCAGGAGGGTGAGGGAGTTGTTCTGAAGGTTGATCACGCCATGGGGCCGCCACTGCTGAGTCGCTTAGTGGAGGTGCAGATTGCGTGGGAACAATCAAAGTGTTTGTGCCGTTGGCCGTGAAGTCTTCCAAAAGTGTCATCTGATGTGGTTGAGAAGGAGAGGGTTGGATATTTTGTGGAGAATCTGATAACAAGAGTTGCATGAACTGCCCTTGACCCTGGCCTTGGTCCTCCACAGGAGCTTGTTCTTGAGGAACCGACCCGTTTTGTTCATTTACGGGATTCTGTTGTTGAGGAAACCCTAAGTACAGATTGGTATCGAGATGATTCTCAGTAACGCTATCTTCGTCGCCACTCATGAGGGCGTAAAGGGATATATGAAGAGAGCTCTAAGGTGTAACAAGAGATGTGAGATAAGGGTTTTTTTTAGATGAACAAGACTTGAAAAGTTATGTATAGGGTTATATATAGGCTTGTTTGCTAACGAGATAGACGTTTAATTATTATTCGATTAGGTTTTGTACAATTTTCAATATTATCCACATTAAACATTTAATAGATTTTGTTATATATATATATATACTTTGATAAGTTAGTTTTTTTTTTTTGTTAGATATTACTGTCTTAAGATATCTATGAATATTTTTTTTCATTCTCAATTCTTGCGTAAATATTACAAGATGCTTTTGTAATGAATTTGTTTTTATAATACGTATATTTGCACTAATATTTTACTGTTTTTTTATTTACAAATAAATAATTGTTGGTAACACAAAATAATAAAACTATTTTCGCGGAAAAATGATACTTGATACCATAATAGTTAATAGATGTAAAAATAACAGGAAAAAATATATCTTATTTTTATAAATACATTATTGGATAAATATTTAAAAAATAAAACAGTAATCAAAGCCAACCCTGAAACAGAAAAAAAAGAAAAAAAGAAAAAAAAAACATTTGAGAACCGTTAAATACCACAGATGTGACGTGGCGAGATCCGGCATTTAGTACTTAATCTGGTACTGATGTAGCGGATTGCAGCTCTTTCCCATCTTCTAAATCCTAATTCTTCGTCATTGCTCTCTCGATCCCAGCTTCCGAGTTCTGAGATTCTCATTCGAAACGGAGAGATCTGTGTAACAACACCTTTGAAGGAAAGATCAGCGATGGCGCAACCACTCGTGAAGAAAGACGACGATCACGATGATGAGCGTATGTCTTCTTCCGTTTTCCGTTTTCTCTCTTCGTTTCGTTCCATTATATCTGGTATCGCAATGCTCAGATCAGTTCGTTAGCTTCTAGATCTATGAGGTTTAGAAATTGTCTACAAGTGTAATTGATGTGTAGATCTATAACCTTCAATTTCTGATGATGGACTGATTATAGTGTTCTTAAGTTTTACGAAATCGATGATGGAGAATGTGTCATGTAGTGATTATTATACAATAGTATTGCTGCGATTCTGGATCCGGTCTTTTTGGTTGCTTATTTTGGGTTGCTAATGTTTTGTGGATCAGTGGAGTATTCTCCATTCGTGGGAATTGAGAAAGGAGCAGTGCTTCAGGAAGCTAGAGTCTTCAATGATCCTCAGCTTGATCCTAGAAGGTGTTCCCAGGTCATCACGAAACTTCTATATTTGCTTAACCAAGGAGAGTCATTCACAAAGGTTAGTTTTATTATACAAATTCCAGTTTTTTATATGCTTATGGATCATGTAATAGCGATTTGTTTTTGCATTATGTGCAGGTTGAAGCAACAGAAGTTTTCTTTTCCGTTACAAAGCTTTTCCAGTCAAAAGATACTGGATTGAGGAGAATGGTGTACTTGATCATAAAGGAATTATCTCCATCAGCGGATGAGGTTCGCGGTCCCTATTTGGCTTAGAAGCGGAATTCTACACTTAGTTTCACTTATAATTACAGATAAGCTGTTTGTCTGTCTATGTAGGTTATTATTGTAACAAGCTCCTTGATGAAAGACATGAATAGCAAGATTGATATGTATCGTGCAAATGCTATCCGTGTCCTGTGCCGAATAATAGACGGAACCCTCCTTACACAAATTGAGCGGTACTTGAAACAAGCTATTGTGGATAAGAATCCTGTTGTTTCAAGTGCAGCTTTAGTCAGTGGACTTCACATGCTAAAGGTATGCTTTATGCACCAAATGTATTAAGCTGTTTCTTAGTGTGTGGTTAGACTGATACACTTGCATTTTTGTTTCCAGACAAACCCAGAAATTGTTAAAAGATGGAGCAACGAGGTTCAAGAAGCTGTCCAGTCCAGAGCAGCCCTTGTTCAGTTTCATGCCTTGGCTTTGCTTCATCAGGTATGTTACTTGATCTTGTAGCACCAGAAAGTAAATTGTTTCGTCTTTGGGACTTAGTTAAACATTCATTGACAAGTAGCAGCTTTTATGCGAAAGATTTTCGAGTGTACTACTACATGTATTCATTAGAAACAAACAATATGCTTCTGTAGTTGCTTTGTATACTGAGATATAATATGGTCATTGCTGCAAATCTTTCACGTGTTTATGTGGACACATCAATATGTATGCTTCATATTTCTGCCATTCTTTCATGAGATCATATCACATATGTAGAGTCAAAATCCTGAGCTGCTTTATTACCGCTATGGTTTAATCTGTAGTTGAAAGCACCCTCTCTGATTCTGTTAAACTTGCATAAATAAATAACTATTAGGTCCAAGTTCTACATATCATGTGATTCTGCTGTAGGGTCTTGTGAATCATATTTGCGTAGCTGTTGTTACATTGACGTAGATGTTTTTCCAACTAGATGTGTGCTCTAGAAGGTAATGAGATTTGATCTAATGAATGTTAAAGCTATTGCTTATCATATCCAGATACGCCAAAACGACCGTTTGGCTGTCAGCAAGTTGGTTGGTACCTTGACCAGGGGAGCTGTCCGCTCTCCTTTGGCCCAGTGCCTCTTGATACGTTACACCAGTCAGGTTTGTCCGCTATGATTCATGATCATATGATATGTGGGTGAAGTTCTTTATGTGATCCAACTTTAGTTCCTACTATCCAGATAATCCGAGACATGTCCAACCATGGCCAGTCTGGGGAACGTCCGTTCTATGATTTCCTGGAGAGTTGTCTGCGCCATAAGGCAGAAATGGTGATCCTTGAGGCTGCCAGAGCTATAACTGAGCTTGATAATGTGACAAGCCGAGAATTGACTCCAGCAATTACGGTGCTTCAGCTCTTCCTGAGTTCCCCTAAACCGGTGCTGAGATTTGCTGCTGTCCGGACTTTGAACAAGGTGAACAATGCTTTTCTTTGTTTTCTTGGGAACATCTCAATACAAACTATTCTCTTTATTTCATGAAATACATTGAATCCTAGATAGGTTCATCATTGTCTTTTATTGAAAATAACGAGATACCGCATAAGTGATACGCATCAAAAGCTCTTCTCTTTCTACACTGTATACTAAATGGAAGCCTGAACTACACAGGTTGCAATGACTCATCCCATGGCTGTCACCAACTGCAACATTGATATGGAGAGTTTAATTTCTGATCAGAATAGAAGTATTGCTACACTTGCTATCACCACACTCCTGAAAACAGGGAATGAATCTAGTGTGGAACGGTTGATGAAGCAGATAACTAATTTCATGTCAGATATCGCTGATGAGTTCAAAATTGTGGTCGTGGAAGCCATAAGATCACTGTGTTTGAAATTTCCATTGAAGTATAGATCACTGTAAGTGAAATTTTAGGTTGCTATTGGTAGGTTTAGCTGTAGAATTGCTCCTCTTTCCGACAACTTCAAGATGTCTTCATTTTTATTGCATCACTGATCACTGTAGCATATGGTAACCCTGCCTCACCCTTTTCATTTGTAGGATGAACTTCTTAAGCAACATTCTTAGAGAAGAAGGTGGTTTTGAATTTAAAAGGGCAATTGTAGATTCTATTGTAACCATTATCAGAGATATTCCAGATGCAAAGGAAAATGGATTGCTCCATCTTTGTGAGTTCATTGAAGATTGTGAATTCACATATCTTTCAACACAGGTGATCTTTTTTCTTCATCTTTAACCTGGGATTGTAATTGGAGTCGTTTATGTTTTCTTTGTTATCTAACTGTTTTTCTTTCTTGCCTAGATACTTCATTTCCTGGGAATTGAAGGGCCGAACACTTCAGATCCTAGCAAGTATATCCGTTACATATATAACCGTGTGCATTTGGAGAATGCAACTGTTCGAGCTGCTGCTGTTTGCACACTTGCAAAGTTTGGCTTTATGGTTGAAGCGTTGAAGGTACAGTAGTTATTTTATTAGGCAATATTAATTTTTTTTTTATTATTATCATCATCGGTTGATGACAAAGATAAATATCAATAATGTCTTGCAGCCCCGGATTACTGTCTTGTTGAAGCGCTGCATCTATGACAGTGATGATGAGGTTTGTGCCTAGTCCTATTGAAAAGCTGCCTTCTAGTCATTGGTTACAGTAGTAAATATGTGGATATCTGTATGTCTCCTTGTGTACCGGTTGCATCAGTACGCATGCATTTTCTCTTTACGCATGCATGTTTCTGCACTGGTAAAACATTTTTCGGAGTAGAGACGCAAACTGCTGTTTAATGATCTTTAATTTGAGTTTCACCCTCTCTTTTATCTTCAGGTTCGTGATAGAGCAACACTCTTTTTGAGTATACTTGGTAATGATGGCCTTGTTGACACTGAAAAAGATAGCATAGAGTTTCTATTTGGTTCCCTGGAGGCCCCTCTTGTCAACTTGGAGACAAGTCTGAAAAACTATGTGAGCTTCCCATGTCCTAGTTTTCTACTCTGTATATACTCTTTGGGACCTCAGTTATCTTATATATCTTTCATTCTGTAGGAGCCCTCTGAAGAAGCTTTTGATGTTGACTCTGTGCCTAAGGAAGTCAAATCGCAGCCGCTTGCAGAGAAGAAAGCCAAGGGTAAAAAGCCCACTGGTCTCGGTGCTCCGCCACCTGCACCTGTTTCTGGTTTTGATGCTTATGAAAGAGTTCTATCATCCATTCCAGAGTTTGCTACCTTTGGCAAACTTTTCAAGGTTTGTATAGAAGTTTTCTGCACATCTCTTCTCTCTTTAGTTTACTCTTATTCTCTCATCGTAATTGGTCAAACGTGTTTCATTCTCAGTCATCTTCACCTGTGGAGCTAACTGAAGCAGAAACAGAATACTCAGTCAATGTTGTAAAGCATATTTTCGAGAGTCACGTTGTGTTTCAGTATAACTGCACAAACACAGTACCAGAGCAACTGTTGGAGAGGGTAATGAGCTTGATGATATACCACATGATTGATCCATTGGATGCCACAGAAAAGCCATTGTTTGTTGATGAGTTCCATCCACTTCCTTGTTTTGTAGGTCAATGTCATTGTAGATGCTTCAGAAGCCGAGGAGTTCAGTGAATTATCTTCTAAACCACTAAACTCACTCCCTTACGATTCCCCTGGTCAGGCCTATGTGGCGTTTGAGAAGCCAGAAGGAGTACCTGCTGTTGGAAAGTTCTCAAACACATTGACTTTCATTGTTAAGGAGGTACGTACATACATGCTTGATAAGCTTTCTCTTTAATCCAGTTTTAGTTAACTGACTAAGTAATCACATCATCACGGTTCTTCACATGGGTATGAGCAGGTTGAGCTAAGCACAGGTGAACCATTGGATGATGGTGTGGAAGATGAGTACCAGCTCGAGGACCTTGAGGTTGTCGCTGCTGACTATATGGTGAACGTCGGTGTCTCCAATTTCCGTAATGCATGGGAAAACATGGACGAGGGAAACGAGCTTGTAGATGAGTATGGTCTTGGTCCAAGAGACAGCTTAGGGGAAGCTGTAAAAGCGGTAACTGATCTTCTTGGCATGCAGTCTTGTGAGGTTAGGCGTGCTTCTCCCTAACTTAAATACTGTTTCGTTAGCATCACTGAAAGCTCTCGTATTGTTGTTCTCAAGTCATTGTTTTTGGGGTTTTGGGCTCAGGGTACAGAGACGGTTGCGAGCAACGCAAGGTCACACACATGTTTATTATCAGGTTTGTACATAGGGAACGTTAAAGTGTTGGTGAAGGCACAGTTTGGAATGGACAGCTCAAAGGAAATTGTAATGAAACTGGCTGTTAGAGCAGAGGATCCATCTGTCAGCGATGCGATTCACGCACTTGTTGCCAACGGCTAAACTCAAGTGTTCTTGCTAGATAAAGACATGAGAATTTATAAATGTTTTGGCTCAGGTTCTCAAGGGATCTTTCCCCTTTCGCTTTTGGTCTTTAAAAGTGCTTATTGTCATTTCTCTAAAAAAATTTTTTGGGTTTGCTACTTTTTTACCATTAGTATAAATATTCTTTTGAGGATCTGTCGTAATGGATCGTTTCTTCTTTCGTTGATTCACACAAGTTTGTTGAATGATACGGTGGCACAAGAATACTAAAAACTAGTAACCTGTTAAGAATGTTTGTATATCTAATATTTATCAAGGAAAGTGGAGAAACAAGGCTATAAAATTCTTACCAAAAAGATTGTCTACAAATACAAGTCACGAGATTGCGCATCCACCATTCTTTTTCAACGAGCTTGTGACATTTGGTTATCCAATTAACTGTCTCGGACTCATCATAGCACTTCTTTCTCCATAGCTCCCATATCACATATCCAATTAACTGAAACAAAACTGCAAACCACATGAGCATTCAAACTCACAGAGCGAGATTCATGAGCTAACCTTTGGAAGAAACAGGTTGTCAAGCCCGTTGAGAGATTACAATAACAGAGAGAGATCTGTTCAGCCACTGTTCGAAGACAACATTCTCATGAACTCTTCCATATTAACCAATCCATCACTATCTGCATCAACAGCTCTCAATCCTTGAAGGCTTCCTCAACATCTTGTTCTTGGAGAGCTTGTACTGCAACTCAAGAAAGCTCACGTTTGACATGTCTGATTTGATATCACCAATCTTTTCTTAGGATGACGTTTATAAGAAACCCATTCGTATTTTTGGGGTTATCATCTGATATCATAATTGTTATGTTGCTATACAATTGTGTCCGTCCAAGTCATCACCTACCTGTTTTTATGTTATTAAAATAACTGTGTTAACAAAAGCCTGAATAGTAGACTCCATGTCTATCATATATTAGACACAATTGACAAAATCAACAAGATGTTGAAGAAGAACAGGGGACAGATCTCATCTAAAAGCATAGATCCTCAAGTTCAAACAAAAAACTTAGAGAAGCAACAAAGCCTAAGACCCATATAGACTGTTAACGAGAATGTTCCATCTTTCAAAGACAGCTTACAAGACCCATTGTTACAGAGAACCAAAAGTTTCAACCTTTCAAAACTAAGCTAACAAGAAATTGCATGATGGTAGAATTGAAGGTGAACATTTTTACAAATACAGATCCCATTTAAGTATTGGAGTCCAAAGTGTCATCATGAAATAAATTAGTCCCCTCACACAAAAACGACAAATACAACAAGATGTTGAAACAGAACAGGGGATAGATATCATCCAGAAGAAACAATGTTGAAAATTAAAGCATAGATACTCAGATTCAGACATAGAACTAAGAGAAACTGCAAAACCTTGTTCTTGAGACCAAACAAAATGAAGGATAGATGTATAAAGCTCGTTCAAGAGAGAAAAAAAAACAGTACAATAGATAATGTTGATTTAAAAAAAAAACGCATAGGTAAGAGCACAAAATGACATGCCCATTGCTTTCACCTAACTCCAATGATCGTCTTTATCCTTCATCTCCTTGTCCCTTCTAGTCTGATTCTGAATCTTATTTATCCACCAATGGAGGATGGACTGACTTGAGTTGTTTTAAATCGTTAACATTAAGATCCTCTGCGTGGTTTACAAAGGTGCAAACTCTACAATTTTCCTTAAACGCTTCACCAAAACCTTTGATTTCAACACGTTGGAGAGTGTTCCTTTCGAGATTGAAGTAAAAAACATAAAACGGTTGTTTTGTTGTATACTTGCGCATCGAAAACACTACCTCACCCGAGGCAGTCACTCCACCAATGGAAACGAGACGACGGAAGAATTTATCATCGGTCCAAGTATAGGCATATTTCGACCATTCTTGTTTCTCAACATCCTCTAGAATCCACAAACGCAACTCATTAATGGCATCAGCTTCTAGATTCTCCTCCACATATTTGTCGACATCTATACCCTCCTGATAATAAAGCTCATAAATGTCGACATCATCCTCCCAATAAATCACAGCTAATTTTCCCTTATAGTTGATCAATCGACAAAACCTTTCTACGTCAATAAAGGTGAATTTCTCAGACCTAACATCAAAGCAAACTATCACATAATCAGATATTTCATCATTCGGGCTGCCTAAGTAATACAAAACTCCATTGATGCATATCCCTTCACTCATAATATCATGTCGATCATATCGTACGGGACATTTTATCTCTCTCCACCTCAAATCTCCATCTCCAAATGTAAGAATTTTACTATCACCAGGACCAGATGGATAAACCATGGACAATACCTTGTATTACTTGTCAATCGGGTCAAACCCGAAAAAGCTATACGCCTTTCTGTAAGTATACCGATTAGGTCAGATCGCATACCGTCCTGTGATGGGGTTACATATCACAGGTCTAGCCTGGTATCTATTACCATATAAATAGAGCAAGCCAGCGGCGTAGCCAATTGAAAAATATTTTAGGTCATAAAAATGACTGATCCATAGATTGTCTGGAGAGAATCTCACATAAAATTCAGCGGCAGCTACAAGAGTCGACGAGGATTTCTCATATGAATTCTCAAGCTGAGGCGACGTGAAGAAGCTCCACACACAATCTTCTTCTTCTTCTTCTTTGTTGCTTTTTTCTGCGATGGCAAATAAGAGGCGTGGCTTAGCCAAGGACCTGGTCAGGAACAACTCCTTGAAATATGGACTACCAAGATTTGATGCCCATCGCTTCGACACGCAACGAAACCTCGCGACTGACTTTAAAGGCAATCTCGACAATATCTCCAGGATGAGATCATTCGTTATGGAACTTGAATTCATGATTGCAGATCAAACGAAGAAAGAGATATGTTAAAACTTGTATATTAAGTAAGACCTAGAGAAACCAATTAACAAAAGACCTAAGAGAAACGTAGCTATTTATTACTAAAGACAAATAAAATTGGGCTAACTTAACGTCCAAGTGGGCCACCAGCTATTGGATCTTCTTGAGTCTTGGCATTGAAGAAGGAAACGTGTGACTTTATTAATTACATGGCAACTTTAGACCTTAAAGAAATGACCGAGGCTAACACTCAATTAGAAGAAAAATATCAAATACTTGTGTTACAAAACTAATGCTTCTTGTATCTAAACAAAGATATTTTTAGATATAATACACGCATTTTTGAGAAAATTATCCTAATCTTGAGTTTTTATAATCATAATTAAGCTCATTTGAATAAAAACAAAGACATAGAACAAACCTATGTCCTTGTGAGCTAGCATTCCAGTCGTAGGAGGATCCAATGTATCAGTGTATGTTCTGTCCAACACACCATAATGACAGCTCCACTTTTATTTGATGTTTCAACTCACCTTGCTTGTGGCATAATTTGGATCCTTTGAGAAACCTTTCACAGAGTTTGAATCGATTGAACGGAAAACTTGAAGCAGAAACAAAGTCAGTTGGGACAATATTTGTGGACTAAATTATAAAATTTGCATGAATCAACTGAGAGATGAGTATATTTCATGGACTTTGTGAATTAGTCAGAGCAAAACTTTGGTTTCCAGTCCAAGACCAGAACATTAATTGGCGTTGAAAATCAAAACAACAGAGTACTGGACCAAGAAATGAAATAGTTCAATACCAAATAAAACAGAGCTAAATTCATAACATAAAACTTAAGACAACAGCAATAAACACAAAGTTACTCAGTAGCTTCTTCCCCAAGACATCCCTCACATACACCATCATCAGTGAGTCTCCTCTTAGGATTTAAAGACAACGACGAAGCAGCTCGTTTGGTTTGATGATGAGTGTGAAGTTGCAAGTATCCCCAACACGTTTTTCTTTCATTTAACCTAAAGGCCACCATCAAATCGGAGTTACTGCGGATAAGTTCTGATATTTCTAGAATCCGTTAGATCTTTCTCAGTGGCATTTCTTCGGACAAGCTCACACCTTCCTTGTAAGGTTCTGAAGGAAATGGGGATGCTTTGGAGATGTCTTTTGCTTACAAGGGATGAGAAACATGGCTGCATCAACAGGAATTGGTAGAACTGAAGGAATGTTTTCTTCAAACACAGTCAAAAATCAGTGAACATTTTTGCACAAATCATATTTTAAGTATTTGAGTCCAAAGTGTCATTATGAAATAAATTAGTCCCATCACACACAAACGACAAACACAACAAGATGTCGAAACAGAACAGAGGACAGATCTCATTCAGAAGAAACAATGTTGAAAATTAAAGCATAGATACTCAGATTAAGACAGAGAACTAAGAGAAACTACAAAACCATGTTCTTGAGACCAAACAAAATGAAGGATACATGTATAAAGCTCGTTCAAGAGAGGAAAAAGACAGTAAATATAGATAAGGTTAACCGAAAAAAGAAAAAAAAAAACTCATAGGTAAGACTTAAGAGCACAAAATGACATGCCCATTGCTTTCACCTAAGTCCAATGATCGTCTCTATCTTCTTCTCCTTGTCCCTTCTCAGTCTCATTCTGAATCTGACTCTGATTGTCCATAATATTCTGGCTCCACCAATGGAGGATGCTCTGACTGGAGTAGCTTTAAATGGTTAACATTACTATTCTGTACGTGGTTTACAAAGGTGCAAACGCTACAAGTTTCCTTAAACACTTCACCAAAACCTTGGATTTCAACACGTTGGAGAGTCTTCCTTTCGGGATTCAAGTAAAAAACATAAAACGGTTCTTCAAATGTATACTTGCACATCGAAAACACTATATCACCCGAAGTGGTCACTCCAACCATGGAAACCTGACGACGGAAGAATTTACCATCGGTCCAAGTGTAGGCATATTTCGACCATTCATGTTTCTCAACGTCCTCTAAAACCCACACACGCAACTCGGCGTCGCCATCCTCCGAATAAAAGTCGTCATAATCCTCCCAAAAAATCACAGCTAATTTACCCTTATAGTTTATCAATCCACAAGACCTTTCTACGCCAATAAAGGTGAACTTTTCAGACCTAAGATCAAAGCAAACTATCACATAACGAGACGTTACATCATGACCATCATTATAACAATCCGACGTGTCACCTAAGTAATACAAAACCCCATTGATGCATACCCCTTCACTATAAGCATCATGCCTCAAGGAACATTTTATCCTTCTCCACGTCATATCTCCAGCTCCAAATGTAAGAACTTTATCATGACCAGGACCACATGGATAAGCCATGGACAATACCTTGTATTGCTTGTCAATCGGTTCAAACCCGAAAAAGCTATACGCCTTTCTGTAGGTATACCTATAAGGTAAGATTGCATACCGTCCTGTGTTGGGGTTACATATCAGAGGTCTAGCCTGGTGTCGATCACCATAGATATAGATCAAGCCAGAGGCGTAGCCAATTGAAAAATATCTTAGGTTATAATAATGATTGATCCGTAAATTGTCTGGTGAGAACTTCACATGAAATGATGCGGCTGCTACAAGAGTCGACGAGGATTTCTCATATGGATTCTCAAGCTGAGGCGACGAGAAGAAACTCCAAATACCTTCTTCTTCGATGGCGAATAAGAGAAGCGGCTTAGCCGAGGACTTGGTCAGGAACAACTCCTTGAAATTTGGACTATCTAACGTTGATGCCCATCGCTTCGACACGCAATGAAACCTCGCCACTGACTTTGCAAGCAATCTCGACAATATAATCATGATGACCGATCAAAAGAAGAACTCTATATGTTAAAAAAGACCTAAGAGAAGAAACGGTATGCAATCTTACAAAAGAGACCTAGCTACCATTTTTGGTTAGACAAACAAAAATGGGCTGACTTAAAGTCCAAGTGGGCCGCCAGCTATTGGCTCTTCTTTAGTCACCACCCACAAAAATTAACGCTGCCGTTTCTTAACTTGGAGAATACACTTGGTGTCATTTTATTTGCTCGATGAAACTTTCCTGCAGTTATTGGACTCGAGCCAGATATTGATAAGCAAGCTACTTGAAGCAGAAAGGGAACATTGAGACATATTATTGTATCGATGCGGACGGACAAAGCTCAGTTGGTGTTGTTGAATGAAATTAAAATCGCATAGCGTTTATCGATGGAATCCCTGTTATACCTTAGAGGCCAAGAAATAAAGTTTAAACCAAGTTTTGTTATGCATTTGCAATCAAACACTCAAGACATTCTCACAACACTCAAGACATATCTTGTTATACATTTAAAGAGTCAACATCAACAACTGGATCATAAATCATAACATAAACTTGTCTTTTACTCAGTAACTTCTTCTCCATGCTGGCGGCCCAGTAACATAAAACTTAAGACACCACCACTAAACAGGAAGTTGTTTTAGTCAGTAACTTGTTCTCCAAGACACCCTCACATACATTATCATTAGGGTTTGGAGACAACTAGAAGTAGCTCGTCTGGTTTGATGAATGTAAATTTGCAGGTATCCCCAACAACAAGGGGATACTCTTTAACCACACAGCGCCATCCACTAGAGAAAGCTCCAAACCTCCCTAGATAAACCACATTCCATGATTTCTTCCCAGAGATTGCTACTTCCCAAGAGCTTCCCCATTGCGCTCTTATCTTCATCTTACGAGACAGCTCTTTTTCGGAGAAGCTGCTCACAAAGTCATGAGAAAGTGCTCTCTTTTGAACTAAAGATTGTTTCTTCAACTATCAGTGAACTTTTTACACATCTCATCAAGTATTCAAGCCCACAGTCTCAAATTAGTCTCATCACACGCAGAGACAATGAAAAATAACAGAGGACAGATCTCATCCCGAAGAAACAATTGAAGGTGAATTATATAAAGCAGAGATAATGTTCTTGAAATCACAAAAAGAGAATAATATTGGTTAAACAGAGAATATCAGTGAGGTTATTGAGACCCATAAAGATAATTGACGAAAAGATTAAACCTTCAAACACACAGCTAACAAGATTCAACGTTACAAAGGACCAGAAGTTTCAACATTTCCAAACTAAGCAAACAAAGTTAACGTCTTACACATCCCATCAAGTCTTCAAATACAAAGTTTCAAATCTCACAACAAAAATGTTTTGGCATAACAAAAACCATTCTTTTCAAATTCTCCGCTTTGTTTTGTTTTTTTATAAATAAAACTTGATTTATTAAAATAGTAAAAATAAAAAGAGCATTGCTCTCACCTAGCTCCAATGATCATCCCTATCTGCTTCTCTGTCTCATTCTGAATCTGATTCTAAATATTCTGTCTGCACCAATGGAGGATGGACTGACTTGAGTTGTTTTAAATCGTTAACATTATGATTCTCTACGTGGTTTACAAAGGTGCAAACGCTACAAGGTTTCGTCACCGCTTCACCAAAACCTTGTATTTCAACACGTTGGAGAGTGTTCCTTCCAAGGTTGAAGTAGAAAACTAGGCCTGGGCATAAAATCCGAAATCCGAAAACCGATCCGAAATCGATCCGAAAAATCCGGCTCCGAATCCGAACCGAATAGTCACAAAACCCGAACGGATAATGAATTCTCTTATCCGAATTATCCGAACCGAACCCGATCCGAACCGAAAACCGAAAAGATATCCGAAAACCGAAAATAAAATTATATATCCAAAAATATTAGTTATATTTAGCTATAATTTTATAACAAATAACAAAAATATCCTAAATAACCTAGATATTGGAAAGTTTTTAGTTATATTTGTTAATATTATACATATTTTTTGAAAACTTAGCCAAATTTTAGTAAAATTAAACTATTTTTTTTATCTAAATTGAACATTTTTTTAGTTTTTTTTTCTCGAAAACCGATCTAAAACCGATCCGAAACCGATCCGAATCCGACACTATCCGAACCGAACCCGATCCGAATAGTCATAACATCCGAACGGATAATAAAATCTCATATCCGAATTATCCGAATCCGAATAAATCCGAACCGAATCCGATCCGAAATCCGAATGCCCAGGCTTATAGAAAACATAAAACGGCTCTTTAGGTGTATACTTGCGCATCGAAAACACTATTTCACCTGTAGCGGTCACTCCAACGATGGAAACGCGATGACGGAAGAATTTTCCATCGATCCAAGTGTAGGCATATTTCGACCATTTCTGTTTTCAATATCCGTTAGAACCCACACACGCAACTCATTATTGGCATCAGCGTTGACATCCTTCTCCAAATAAGTGTCGACAATCGTCTCCGAACAAAGCTCATAAATGTCGACATCATCCTTCCAGAAAATCACAGCTAAATTGCCCTTATATAGTTGATCAATCGACAAAACCTTTCCACGTTAATAAAGGTGAATTTTTCAGACCTAACATGAAAGCAAACTATCACATAACGAGACGTTACACAATGAGCATTATAATGAACACATTGCGACGTGTCACCTAGGTAATACAAAACACCATTGATGCATATCCCTTCACTCCTACTTTCATGTCGTAAGGTACATTTTATCTTTCTCCACGTCATATCTCCATCTCCAAATGTAAGAATTTTATGATGACCAGGACCAAATGGATAAGCCATGGACAATACCTTGTATTGCTTGTCAATTGGGTCAAACCCGAAAAAGCTATACGCCTTTCTGTAGGTATACCGATCAGGTAAGATCGCATACCGTCCTGTGATGGGGTTACATATCACAGGTCTAGCCTGGTATATATCGATCACCATGGATGTAGATCAAGCCAGAGGCGTAGCCAATTGAAAAATATCTTAGGTCATAATAATGATCGATATGTAGATTGTCTGGAGAGTAACTTCACATGAAATTCGGCGTGTGCTATAAGAGTCGACGACGATTTCTCGTATGGATTCTCAAGCTGCGGCGACGAGAAGAAGCTCCACACACCACCGGATTCTGCGAGGGCGAATAAGAGGCGCAGATTAGCCGTGGACCTGGTGGGCACAACTCCTTGAAATATGGAGTAACAAACATTGATGCCCATTGCTTTGACACGCAACAAAACCTCACGACTGACTCTGTAGGCAATCTCGACAATATTTCCAGGATGAGATCATTCGTTAAGGAATATGAATTCATAATTTCGGATCGAACGAACAAAGAAATTTATTAAAACTTATAAAGTAAGACCTAGAGAAAACCTAGCTATATACTAAAGAGACCTATATAGCTTTCGTGAATTTATCTGTCCGAGTGTAGTCGGTTAAGAAACACAAAAAATGGGCTCATTTAACGTCAAAGTGGGCCTCGAGCTATTGGCTCTTCTTTAGTCACCATCCACAAAAATTAACGAACGTTTTCGAGATATTACCAGCCAAATTGCCAATAAAAAGTTACCATTGAGTTGATAATTTGATTCTACGGTTATTCATATATATAATGATAATTTGATAATTGGTCCCAACATATTAAGCTACAGAGATACATCTGATAGACAAAAAGCAAAGTTCAGATGCCAACTTAAAGTCGTAACATAAAACTTAAGACAACACCAATAAACAGAAAGTTGTTTTACTCAGTAACTTCTTCTCCAAGACACCCTAACATACATTATCATTAGGGTTTGGAGACAACTAGAAGTAGCTCATCTGGTTTGATGAATGAAAATTTGCAGGTATCCCCAACAGCAAGGGGATACTCTTTAACCAAACGTCGCCATCCACCAGAGAAAGCTCCAAACCTCACCAGAAAAACCACATTCCATGATTTCTTCCCATTTGGGTGATGGATCTTGAATATTGTTTTCTCATCCGGCATAAGATCCTTAGCAACAGAATTCGGGATCCTCTGAACATTCAAACAACAGATTGATTCACATATCGATTTTTATATCAAAAAGTCATTCTCAATAAAGAGATTTTGTTTAGAGTGTCTTGGTTTGTCTTATCTTACCAGGAATATGAGATATCCTTGCTTGAATAAGATGGTGAATTCTGCAGCAGTAGATGAAGATGCACCAGTGTAATCTCTTCGTGCTTTAACCACTTTCTCGGTCCTTTTAGAATTTTGGGATTCCTTAGCTGCCTTCTTCCCAAGGTTGAGCTTTCTTCCTTTAGATTCAGCTGCGGTTGTCGGGCCACGGTTAGAAGATACCACTACCTCTTCCTTCATGTCATCTTCCTCTTGTTCTGTTTTGATACGACCTGTTTCATCACCAATAGTAAAGAATCAATGTCTTTATCATCTGTTCACTGTTTCATAATCATAAAACCAAATCTTACTTGAAGAAGCCAAGAAGGCTCTGGATTTTGGAGGTTGCATCATCTCTTTCCCATCTTGCTTAAAGATGTTCACAGTAAAGTGCATTTTTCCTTTGTGAGTGAAGGTAATAAACTCACTGTTTCCCAAAGCATTGTCCCTAACAAACTTCTCCCAGCCGGACTTCTCCATGAAGTAAAATCTTGGGTTTTTAGAGATTCCTACTTCCCAAGAGCTTCCCCATTGCGCTCTTATCTTTATCTTACGTGAGAGCTCTTGATCGGAGAAGCTTCTCACAAAGTCATGAGGAAGTGCTCTCTTTCATTATGCAAATAAAATGAAGAGACAATATAAGAAGACTAAAATTTCAATAAAACCAAGAATGGTTGAAGTAAAGAATGTTTCTTCAACTACAGGGAATTAACAATCAGTGAACTTTTTACATATCTCATCAAGTATTTGGCCCACAGTTTCAGATTAGTCCCATCATGTGCAACAAGACAATGAAAAATAACAGAGGAAAAATCTCATCCAGAAGAAACAGAGGTGAAAAATAAAGCATGAATCCTCACATTTAGAGTGAGTACTGAGAGAAATAACAAAACAATGTTCTTGAAATCACAAAAAGAGAATAATGTTAGTTAAACTGTGAGGTTTTTGAGACCCATTATAGATAAGATTCATGAGAAAGACCAAAAGTTTCAAAATTTCCACACTAAACTAACAAAGTGAACGTCTTACGAATGACACATCCCATCAAGTCTTAAGTACAAAGTTTCAAATCTCACCATGAAATCAGTCTCATTACACACAAATATAGTGACAAACACAACAAAATGTTTTGGCATAACAAGTACCATTGTTTTCCATTTTCCCATAATTGAGCCCAAAGTTTCAAATTAGTCCCATTACACTCAAATGACAAACCAAACAAGACAATGAAAAATAACAGAGGACAGATCTCATCTAGAAGAAACAAAGATGCAAAATAAAGCATGAATCCTCACTTTCACACATAGAACTAAGTGAAACAACTAAAAACGGAGTGTAGAATGAAGAGAGAAAATCTGTAAAAAAAAAAGAAAAATTATGATACCCATAAAGACAATTAACAAAAAGTTTCAATCTTTCCAAACTAAAATAACAAGATTCAACGTTTAAGAGAAAACCCATTGTTACAAAGAACGTAAAGCTTCAATCTTTCCAAACTAAAATAATAAGATTCAAAATTTAAGACAAAACCCATTGTTACAAAGAACCTAAAGTTTCAATCTTTCCAAACTAAAATAACAAGATTCAAAATTTAAGACAAAACCCATTGTTACAAAGAAACGAAAGTTTCAATCTTTCCAAACTAAGCTAACAAGAAATCGCCAAATTTAAGAAGGAAGAGAGTTTAGAAGATTGTTACCATGTTTTCAGAAGAAATATTTATACTATGAACAACCTTGAAGAAGCTTTCGTTCTTGCGTTCTTGTTTGCACCGAAGATAATCAGCGTTCCTAGCCATCTCTCTGATTCAAGCTCACCCACAAAGCTTTGCTCTCGTGTCTCCTTTCACACTCTCTTCCTATATCTCACTCTCTCTCTCTTTTGTAATGACCAAACCTCTTGAAATTTCTACCAAATGTCCAAGGAAATGATTCAGTCAAAGTTAGAACTGAAAAATAAGTACAATGTGAGGTCATGTACTTTACTGTCACCCATAATTATAATGTGTTTCTTTAATTTATACAGAAGATGTTGTTATTATCTAATATTCCAATTAAAACGAGGGAGAAGTTGTTGAAGGAAACAAAAAAAAAAGAAGGAAAAAAAAAACGAGGGAGAAGTTGTTATTATCGAATTAAAAAGAAAATGTTGAGAGCATGTATTAATTTTAGTAATTTATTTAATATACAGTTTTAAAATCTTAAAATATTTTATAATATATATATGAATTATCGAAATTTGTTTTTTTTAAAGAATAAGTCTATATATGTTTAAAATTATTTAATATTAATATTAGTTATTTATAAATTTGAATATATATTGATAAACTATAGAATTGATTTATTAAAATGCCTGCGGTTTATCCACGGATCTTGCGAACTCAAACGGGACGGATGCGCGCATACTATCTACTCTCACAGATTTTGCAAGGTGGGGTTTTTTGTAGGTCGAATTTTTTTTAACCCGGTACGAGATGAGTTTGACCTACCTGCTTTTCAGGTCAAAATCGTACTATGACTATGATCCATCGATTCAAATAGTTTGTTTATTTTCTTCAGTTTTTACAAAATGTGTGGTTGTCTTTGTAACTTCAAGGTCTCTCCCATATCATAAATCCTTATCTCATCTGAAGTTAGCTAAACACTATGGTACTATGTAACAATACTTTGTTGCACTAGTAAAATGTTTGATTGATGCTTCAAAATATTATTGTTAAAGCAAACATTATAAAGGTAGAATTTCCTGGTATTGGATGGGAAAAGACCTAATATCTTAGTGGTAACCTAGTTATTATTCTATGAGTTTTTCATATATTATTCCTTCCTATCTCAAATAAGTTTAATTTGTCTACATATATTTTTGTATTGTTAGTAGCATAATCTTCTACACATTAGTTCCTTGTTTTTCTATTCTTCTTTCTTATGCACCATTTTCACGCGATCTTTTCTTAAAAACCCAATCATCTTGTTATGTTGTTTACTTTTATATTTAAGTATATCATTCTTTTGATGAATTGATGCATCGTATTCGTTTTGGAATCAAAATATAGGTTTTCTATTTCAACAAAGTAACTTTATCGTTAGTTCAAAGAAAGTTATAACTGTGGTATTGATAGTGAAAAACAAATCCTAGAGAATTTGTTTCATATAAAAAATGCAACAAAAAAGTGGTGATAATTAATACTCAATACTCAATTATATTATCAAAAAAAAAAAAAAAAAAAAAATTAATACTCAATTATTCAAATAAATGCAAATTTAACCCTCAAATCAATAATGTTAAACAACCAATGGATGACAAAATGCTCCATTTCACTTGTAGTGAAATTTTGGATAAAATCCCAAAATAACTTCATAGTTTCGATTTAGAGAAAAAAAAAAACTTAGCTTTAGATTCAGACTTTTCAAGAAAAATCTTAGTTTTTTTCTCATGGAAGAATCTCTTAGCTTACTTAAATGTTCATGTGTTTTGTCTAGAGCATAGATCATACAAATCTCACGATAGTCCATAATCCATCCGATTATAGGAGCAGAACAATTTCAATCGGTCTAACATGTTCTACATCGATTGAAGTAACTGCTTTGATGAAGAGTGAATCAAATCTTTGCTAGAGAAATATAAAAGATTCGAACTTTGTGATCAAATTAAAAAAAGAAACTAACTATTTTAATATAAATATTTTAAAATTGTTAGATGAGAACTTGTGTGTTTTTTTTTTCATAGTCCGATAGTTTCTTTAGTAGGGTTCTTAGGAAAATTTTTTTTTAAAGTATTTTATTTCATAAAATTTAATAATTATTGCAATTTATAAAATATTAAACATATTTTATTTTCAAACCTTTAAAAGTAGATGTGCAATTTTTATATATAGTAACATATTTTTAATTTTTTATATTAGTCTAAAATATATGACAAAAAAAATATATTAGTCTAAAATATAAAATTTGAAGTATTTAAATTACATTATACAAGAGTGGAATCACAATTATAATAGAAGGAAAAACTAAAGTCTTACGATTTTAAAATATAAATTAAAAAGTTATATTTTGTATTCAAGAAAAATAAGTATGAAAATTAAGTGTTTAAAACATAATTGAATCTTTCATGAAACACAATTGGGCTGCGATGACCAAACATAATTGGGCCCAAGAGAAAACAAATAAAAATCATAAAAAAATTATAAAACGCACGTGGAGGAGAATTCATCGTCTTTTTTTTTTTTTTTTGGTTTAAAGAATTAATCGTCTTCTTCGTTTGGATCAAGTTTTATAAAACCACCGCAACGACGACGAAACCGATTACGATTCCGATATAAATTAATCACGCAATATCGATTTAATCACGCAACCACAACAACTGATTTTTCATTATAAAGATGTGAGAATTGTGATTTTTGGTTTATACATTGATTTTGTTCTATTGGTTTGATTTTGATAAATAATCAATGTAAAACCAAAAATCACAATTCTCACATCTTTTAGTGAAAAATCAGTTGTATATTCCCATAATTATTTATGCATGCATTTGTCAAATATTAAACCAAACAAATTCCATTTTATTAATATATATGTTTAATCTATAATTTTTCAATAGATATAACTCAACTAAAACGGTTTGGAAATCCAAACAAGAGGTACAAAGTTTATATAGCTTATGTTTAATCTAACATACTATGTGCTAGAATATCTGAGTTAGAATTTATTTTTCGGGAAATATACGAAATAGAAAAAAATAACATTCATCCTTGTAAACAGAGCTAAAAGCGTCGAAAAATGCTGGCTATATAGTCATCTTCTACACCAACTCGGATTAATAAGTTGCAAGAGCTATATTTTCATTTGCTAGTACTCAATAATATATGGCATCACCCATATAAGTGCTTTCAACTCTGCGTGTAATGGAGAGACGCTTCTTCGTACATTCTTAGGGCTTGACTGGTTTAAACGCAGCGGTTGCGATTGCGGTTGTGGGAGTTTGCGGAAGCGGGCGATTGCGATTTCAAGCGTTATTTAGCGTTTTGACCGACTGGTTAAGCGGTTGTAAATGGGTGCGTTTGCGGAAGATTTACGACTGGTTGATCAGCGGGTACGATAGCGGTTAAACCAAAATTTACCAAAATAAATTTAATATATGATTGTAAAAAAGTATAAAACACCAAAAACTATAATTATGAAAAAGTATAAATTTTTTAAACATGATTAATGATTAAAAACTATAAATAATTATTCAAATAAATTTTATATTGAAAACAAAAATAATTATTAATATTCTAAAATTAAAGTTAGATAATTATTATTTTTTTAGAATTAACGTGAATATATATGACTTGATAATATATATTTTAATTTATTTATTTTCTTTTTTTTTAGTTTCTTTCATTTTTTAAACCGCCCGCAACTGCAAACGCTTGCGGGAAAGAGCTTTTGAAATCCAGCGATTTCGAGCGGTTCGAAGCGGTGTGAAGTGATTTCTGTGATTGGTACCAACCGCTAACAACCGCAACCAACCGCTAACAGCCGCTAGGCGGGTGCTAGCGGGAGAACCAATCAAGCCCTTAGTCTTTATGATAGATCCATCCACATCGTCTTGAAAGAAATACGAAGCTAAACTCGAAAATACGATATGTCTCCCTCTAGCTATGACCCAATCATATAACATCGATAACCAATATTTTCCAGGATTAAGTAAGCGGAAATCTAAGAAAAAAAAAGTAGCTTCCCATGACTTGAAGAAGACCAATATTATTACACATACTATAATTTGAATATAATATAGTTGATGTATTTGTTCTTTTTGGAATATCAAAGATGACTTTCCAAAATTTGTCATAATTTAATAAGTTTGTGAATTAGCAATTTATGTAAATTGAATGTTTGAAGGGAATATATACAAAGTAACTATGAATTCAAAAAGAATATATAAATTAACCATGAGCTACAGTATCATGTCTGTAACATGTCGGAATGCATGTGTAATTACGTAAATGTCATTTGTAACACGTTTTTTTCGTATTACATGTGATAACATAATATATCTCTTTTTATCATATATTTTTCTCGTATTACACGTTATTTATAAAGAACACATGGTATTTCTTGGAAAAAACATTATATTTAGTTTAATATCTTTTTTTTTTTGCAACATTTAATATCTCTCTTTATCATGTTATTTTGTAATAATACACGTCTTTTTTATTAAGATCACATGTGATTTCTTTTAAAAAAAGATGATTATTTTTTTGTAATACACGATTTTTATTAAGATTACATGTGATTTCTTTTAAAAAAAAATTATTCAGATTTGTTGGTGTCGGATCCCGCACCAGAAGTCCGCGACCAACCAAAGATTGCCACGTAGTCAAGATAATGGCCCATAAAGGATGAAGCCCATTGGACCCGTGAGCCGAAGGGACGGTCGAAGTGGTGGTCACCATTTCAATAATCCGAAGTGACTGCACTGTGACACGAGTTCGGTGTAGAAGACACGGGTAAGTCGGTTCAAGGAAACTTGGGCCAAAAAAGGCGAGGCTCATGAAGATCAGAGTCAACTCAAATTCAAACGTTGAGCATTAAAGTCGAAGAATCAAAACGGACACATTTAAGAAGGAATAATTGTACTTAATTATTCATTTTAATGTTGTTTCTCTATGTATAAATATAGAGGCCAATGGCCATGAAAAGGGGATCTTCCTCTCAAGCAAGAAATAATATAGCAATTTTCGTAGCAATTTTATAAGTTTTTACATATTCATTTTTGTCCCTCAAGAATAATCCTTCCTACTTAACAAAATACTTGAGTGTGTGAATCCGACATCCACATTTTGGCGCCGTCTGTGGGGAGATTAGGTTCTTGAGTGGTCAGATTTTTTCTTTATCACACTTCCGAGATAAGCAACAATGTCCGGAGGAGACGCTGCTGAGACATCATTGGCCGAAACCCTCAAAGCTATGCAGCAAACCATGGCGGACATATCACAAAAGTTCTCGGATGTGGAAAAG